TTCATCAGCACCAAGTGGAAGATGGAGATCTTCCAACCAGCAGCTCAGCTGACCAGATGAAAGCAGCAACTGGTGGAGAAGATTGTGGAGGAGCAGACATTCAGTTCTACAGATTAGGTTTGTATTTTGGGATCGTCAGTGTTTGTAAAATTTACTTACAGTTTTTATGAAACTAACCTACTTTTTATTCAATTCAGTTTATTTATATAGTGCCAAATCACAACAAAGTTGTCTCAGGGCACATTACAGGAACATTCACATAAAAACCAATTAGCAAAGTTCTCTGTCTAAGGAATCCAGCAGACAAGATGAATCTTGGCTTCGTTGCAGTCTCCTATTTATTTATTTTAAATAATTTTTATTCATTTCATTTAAAAACATGACAATAAAAAAAAAAACTAAACACAAGATATATATTATATATATACCCGGAGGAAGCCACTCTCTGTCTATATGGACTTCCTAAAATACACAAAGAAGGAACACCACTCAGACCCATCGTCAGCAGCATGAACTCAGTGACATATAATATTGCTAAACATCTGGCTGGTATTTCAGCCCCTCTGGTTGGAAACACACCTCATCCCATAAAGAACTCCATTGATTTTGCCAACAAAGTTCAATATTTGACGCTAGCCCCAGGAGAAACCCTTGTATCATATGATATGGCTTCTCTTTTCAGTTGCATACCCATTTCTGAAGCAGTAGAAACCGTCAGAAAATGACATGCACAAGACAAGGACTTAAACAACAGAACCAACTTCACCTCAGACCAGATCTGCACCCTGTTGGACCTCTGCCTTTTCACCACTTATTTCAAGTATAATGACAGTTTTTACAGACAGAAGCACGGTTGTGCCATGGGATCTCCAGTGTCACCCATTGTTGCAAATCTCTACATGGTGGAAGTGGAACAGGTAGCCCTAAACTCCTTTGAGGGAACAATGCCAAGCCATTGGTTCCGATATGTAGATGATACCTGGGTCAAAGTCCATGCCAAGGAAATAGAAGCGTTCACCAGACACATCAACTTGGTTGATAACATCAAGTTCACCAGAGAGGATGCAAATGACAACAAGCTGCCTTTTTTGGACTGTTTGGTTCAGATGGATAGAGAGGTCATCCTCAACATTGAAGTTTACAGGAAACCACCCCACACAGTATCTTCTTCTTGACTCTCACCATCCACTGGAACACCATCTCTGTCATCAGAACTTTATAGCATCGGGCTGAACACGTCCCCATGAAGACAGAAGGGAAGGATGTTATGATCTGTGTGCAGTTGAACCCAGTGATGCAGGTAAGACCCAATGCATGCAGGACTCTGACTCGATAGATAATATATAAATAAAAACTATTTATTGAAAAGAAAAGCAAGAAGCTGGTGTGGCAGCAAAAAACTTACAGAGGAACTCAGGTTGAACAGGAACAGAGACAGATCACACACTATGGAAGGATAATCCTCGGACAGGGAAACAAAGACAAGACGTAGGATATATAGGCACGCTAATGAGGGGAAAACAAGAAACAGCTGGGCGAAGTGACAGGTGGACAGCATTAGTTAATAGTGGAGGAAAATGTGAGAGAGGCAGGAGGTAGGGAGAAACAGAAAGACCACACGAGGGCATCACACACCAAGGAAACAATCCTCACAAAGGAAAAGGAACAGAAACACATCCAAGAAGCTCTCCAAACTGGGCTTTTGTCAAGTCAGCGAGGAAATCTAAAAAACACACTATTAAACAGAAAAAGGAGAACAGACAAAAAAAACATTGTCATCCCTTGTGATACTGGAGTATCAGAGAAATTCAGAAAGATTTTCAATAAACAGAACATCCCAGCACATTTCAAACCCAACAGGACTCTCAGACATGGCATGGCTCAAGATAGGAGAGCCACCTCCTCAGGACAAGACTCAGCTGTTCACCTCTACTTCAAGGATAATGGACACTCATTTGAGGACGAAAATGTTGACATTTTGGACCGAGAAGACAGATGGTTTGAGAGGGGGTGAAGGAAGCAATTTATGTAAAGAGGCAAAACCATCTCTAAACAGAGGAGGAGGTCTCAGATTTCAACTTTCAAAAACTTATAATGCAACTTTGAGACTGATACACATGTAGTGAACTAGGCCTCCGACCTCAACCTGTCTCTGAAGACCTTCAGGGGACAGGAACTGCTATTTCATTGATTTGAATCCAGAAATACAAATTAGCCCATCAAGAGACTATTTAATTGTATCCTGAATTAATCAATTGAAAGAACACTCTTCTTTTTTACATTATCATTACTATTTTTAGAATATCTTGATAATCAAAGTGTGTTTAGTTCATACCATTTCTAAATGTTGAAGTGAACCACTCATTTTAAATCAACTGTGAAACAGTATTAATGATTTTTAAACCTCCTTAGACTTAGAAATCAAGTTAAATGTCTATTTACAAAGTAATTGTGCATTTTGATCTTCTGTCTGAATGAGGAGTAGTGATGTCGGTCAGAAGTCAGGGATGTCGGTCAAAAGTCAGAAAGCAAGTTATGAGAACGAAGTTCCTTGTTTTTAAACCTAGCGGACAGTAAATAACTTCAACTGGCATCTGCATTTGTCTCACTTCGCCATAACATTCCTCTGTCTGTACTAACCGTTCGTAAACATTCCTGCTGTCTTTTTGACTCCTAATAACCCTCTGACATCACTGAAACACTGCCCCTGCTGGTTGTTTCAACCAATCAGGAAGTACCAAGTGACCGGAAGTGAGTACTCTTTTAAAAGTCAACACTTCCTGGGACTATTCGGTCTTCTAGAGTCTTCCTAGAGTCTTCTGGCGGTCTTCCTGCAGTTTTCCTGAGTCTTTCTTGGGACTATGGAGTCTTCCACTTCTGAGTGGAATCTCTGATTGAAGTTTTACTGATAGTTCCTAAGGAACTTTCAGATTTAATCAATAGCTGATGGATTTGACCGTGAGACAAGGGTCCGTCCATCCCAGCGGAGTTACAGCGCCTCGCTGTGAACTCACCCGGGCGTAACACCCTAAAACTTCGAAGGAAGCTTGTTCTGTTGAACGGAGTAAACCACACGACTTCTGACGATGACCAGCCACCCTGACCGGAGACGCTGTAAAGGTAGCGTGCATAGGGACATCTAGACCGGAGCTGATCCATCATCTGCAAAGGTAAAGAGACATCACGAGTTGTCACGCACTAAGTGGACCCGGGGTTTGAGCTGGTGTTGAAAGAAGCGTGCTAATTCTGGTCAACAAACATACATCTTCCTTCATCCATCTTCCTTTTAAATCTATTCCTTTCCTTAAACTTTTATATGCCAGTACTCTAGATGCCTTCAGAGGTGAATCAGCCTACAGTAATGTTCTGTTGTCTTGTTAGTAAAGCGTGCCAAGTTTTTATTAATCAGAAACAGATCAGCAAATCAATGTGTACATGTCTTGATGTTAAATTTTGATTCTGTTAAATAAATGACCGCATTTATTCTCATGGGTCAAAGATAAAATGGCGTCTCATGTCACTGATTAAATGCTCCACTCACATTTATCTCGGTCACATGGCACATAATTTAACTCGAAAAAGAAAGAATCCGTTGTGATTAAATAATTAATATTCTTTTTGCTTGAACTAGCTTTAAGAATAATTAATTAGTAGTGAAGCTACAGCAAAGCTGTCCCCACATTCACTACACCCGGCCAGTGTCACAGTTGTGACCAGAGAGACCCATCTGTGAATACGTACCGGAAATGCCCCTGACGTTACGTCACATGGGAACTATGTATTATACAGATTAACAAAGACCTTAACAAACCCCTACTATGAGGTGTGATAGGTCAATCTGCATATGTATGTATATTATCTCAACTTGAACCCCACACTCACTACTTTTTGAATTGAGAAAGCTTCTCGGATGAGAAGTGAAATGTCTTCAGTTACAAATAAAGTCCAGTTGTTTTTGTCTTGAACTTTTTTGAACCAGCTATGATGTTGACATTTCCAGTGTCACTTCAGTATTGATACATCTAAACTTTTGCATGGAAAAATCTCATTTCATTTATTTATATAGCACATTAATTAAAAAAAAGTCTGTTGGGCAAAGTGCTGCACACAAAGCAACAAATTGCTATACCACCAGATTTTTTCTAAGAGAATTTTGAAACGGCTCTATGCAACCTAGATCTTTAGGAGAAGCACTGCTGTTTCTATTTATTATCAAGTAATGACATTCTTGCCCATGGTTAGTGAGTTTAACCATCTGATCAGAGTTGTGACTGCTGCCAAATGCAAAAAATGATTGAGCCGTATGTGGAGCAGAAACAATGTGTTGCTGATGAAACATCTGGGCAGAGTCCATAGTTATAGTTTGTATCACTGTTCTGAAAAACGATTGAGTCTTTTCTTGTCAGCATCAAATGAGAATTAGAATTAGAAATTTTACCTTAAAGTTGGCAAACCATGGTGTGTTCTTGGTATTTAGTCCTTTTTTTTTTTTTTTACCAAAATGAGCAATTATCACAAACTTAAACTTTCTCCTTGTTCAGTTTTTTTAGTTTGGTTCTCTTGAGTATTTAGCTTAAATTTCAACACAAAACTGTTAAAGAATAAAATATATATGGATGAGGATGCAGACTTAAAAAGCTGGACTGGAGGTTCCAGTGCATCCTGGGATATGTAGTTTTAGTTGTTTGCTTGCCGTACACCTGCTGGTGGTTATTTTACATGAATGATAGCTTGTCTTTACCTTGACATGTCTGTTCTATTTGTTTTACCATCTTCTAATAGCCAGTCAGGATGTCTGTCACTGAATTCATTTCAGGAGGTTTCTCTGACGTCCAGCATTAGATGTTGTTTTTAATTGATTAGTGAACTCAACAAGTGATATTTGTGTGAATATAAAGTTACAACAGTCCTTAATATTTATGTGTTTAATTTTTTTTCCTGCAGATGTTCATCAGATGATGCTGATTGTAGAAGAAGCTTCTGAAGAATGGAGCTCTGATATGGACCAGAAGAACCCAGAGCTCCTCAATAAGGAGCTTCATCAGCACCAAGTACAAAATGAAGATCTTCCAATCAGCAGCTCAACTGACCAGATGAATGTGTCAAGTGGTGGAGAGAATTGTGGAGGAGCAGAAACTACCAGAAACCTTTATCTAAATACTAATGAAGATTATTCCAGCTCTTCAGAAACTGAAATCAGTGAGGATGATGATGTAATTGATCCTGACTGTCAGATGAAAGACTCATCGGACTCTGTATCAGAACCTGAAGATGGTGTCAAAGACTGGAAGGAGAGCAGGACTCCTGAGTCAGGTGTGAACACTGTTAACAAATCTTGCAGCTTCTCTGAGTGTGAGAAACAATTTCTCCACAAGGATTCTGTCCAGAAAAACAAGACAGGTCATTCAAGAATAAAGTCCACAAGTTGTTTGGTTAGTAAGAAATGTTTTAGAGTGAAGAAAACTGGAAGCTCAAACAAAAACAGCCAATCATCACAGAAATCATGTAGTTGTGATGACTGTGAAAAAAGATTTAACAGAAATTATAATCTTAATAAACACATGAGAATTCACACAGGACAGAAACCATTTGCTTGTGATGTTTGTGGACACAGGTTT